TGTCTGTTACTGGGCACTGGGGGATCYTCTGCCAAATGGGCCTGTGCTGAGTCTTCTAAATCTTTATTTTTGGTCATTTCCTAACACCTGCATGACATAGGCTTCAAAATGCAGTGCTGAAGGGTAAAGGGGGCTGACAGCTGTGGTTTTTTGGATGCTGAACAGTCAGGGTGAGGCTGAGCACTCACAGAACCAGAGCTACAGCATTGTGCTCTTGTGAGCTGCAGGTTTTTGTAAGGAACAAATCTTAAACTGCCTCCCTGAAGCTTTCAAAACTTTCCAAGGCTTAAACTGTACCACAGAGCAATCAGTATTACCCAGGCAGAACTAGAGCTCAGAGTTTTTAGCTGCAAGAACGATGATTTCTGTAAATGGCCCCAGTCAGTCAGTCCGTGCTGGTTGTGTGTCTGTCCCATCCCTGTCAGTGTGAATTCTGCAGGAATCCCACCTGTTTATCCAAACTTCCAGTAAAAGGGCTGAGCGTTCCTTCCGTGGTCGGGCTGTGCCGTAAGAGCCTTTGATTCTTCCTGGAAATGGTTTGATAATTCACTTTGTTTGCGTAGCAGGGACCAGCGACAGGGCTCAGCTTTGCTGTGGGCTTCAGCAGCCAAATGTAAATTGTTATTTTTGTCCCTCTCCGTGTTTTGCGTGYGGTTGGGTCGCTGGTTTGACATTATGAAGAAATGAATGTCTCTTTTTAAACATAGGGTGGTCTCTGTTCCAGGTCCCTCGAGTGTCTTTTTTTTGAGGTCAGATGGAATATAGTCTGAAAATCTGGTTTGATTTCAGCTGTTTACTGTGAAAACTGTAAATAATCTGCAGTCCTCGCTGCCTGAATATGGGTTCTTGGTTGATTAACAAAAAAAAAATCACAGGAAATATAGAAAATTATCATCTGGTTCATGTGGTTACCACGTCTGCCCTGTCTCTCCACCTCCTGCCCACTTTTGTGAACATGAACTGGGCAGACACATTAAACTTTGTCGTGGTGCCCATCTCGAGAAGGTCAGTCTGCTTCTGACATCACAGGGTCACCAAATTCACTGCAAATGTGACTTAATCCACCACATAAAGGAGATGAGAAGCTTCATCAGCGTTTGTTTTCCAGACAGAAAGCAGCAAAAAAGCACRAGGCGTCTGTCCAGGGGTGGGGAGTGGAAACTCGTGTGTCAGTGCTCTCTGAACCAGAAGGTGATTTTTTTCCTCAGTGTAGGATTGGATTGTTTTTTTAACACAGAAAGCAGCGTCAGGTGCTTCATATAAATATGGAGAGCAGTGAGTGATGTTTGTGAGGGCTGTGCAATGGAATGGGGCATTTTTTCCTCTCTGGAAGACACTCAGAGGGGTCACTGTGATGCCAGTGATGTTGGCACAGCCCAGCCAGGTTTGGGTGCTCTGGCACACCCAGCTCAACACCCAGGTCAGCTCTGGAGGCTCCATTGCATGGGAGGTTTATGCAGACTAAGCTCTCAATGGTTAATTTTGGCATACAGTTGCCCTTGGTGGTATGTGAAGTATTCTGTAGCCTCATTGTTTCTGTCCTTCCTCTGGAGCTGGTGCAGAAATGTCAGCGGGCTGTGCCTACGTGCAGAGCCTGGGCCTGCACTCCCAGTTCTTCATGAAAAATGAAATTTCGTGCTTAACCTAAAAAGGGCTTTTTGCAGCTTAAGCAGGACTGWCTGGGCAGAGGGGCAGCAGAGTTTTCTGGGTGAGAGGCACAGGGCAGGGACAGCCCCAAGTGCCAGCACTGAATGCGGGTGTCACCGGCTGTGCCAGGACTGGTGAGCCTGGTTTGGGCAAAAGTACACTTAGGAGAGCCTTGCAGAAAAACACCTGGCTTTGTTTTCATGCCTGCAGGAGAATTGCTAAAATATTTCAGAAATTGTTGAGAGTTTGGAGCTTTGTGCTTTGTTTTAAGGGCGCTCTCTGTATGGACAGGCTGTGCTCCCCAATCCCAGCAGTGAGGAAGGTGTGAGTAGTGACCTTGTTTAGGARCTGAGCTATTACCTGTTGATCAGTGGCTTAAATTGGAGCAGCTTGCTGTCAGTCTCCTCAGAGTAATAAATTTATGACCATGCAAATGCCTTAATGAAATACGACGGGGCAATTTGAGATGGGAACTTTGCTTTGCTGAGYGAGTGAGCTGAGGGTCAGATTTGACTTGGTGATGGCTTTCCTTCTCCAGCCYTGGTTCAGATTTGCTTATGGAATGAGTTTATCCAATGAATAAGAGTTAATTGACAAGTTCTTTGAAAAACACCTCGAGTCTGTTGCACAAYGTGAGTGGGCAAAGGCAGAAGTAGGTTGCTGTGCAGTCAGGAGCAGCACAACTGCTTTGATGGATCTTGGTAATTAGTATTTACTGCCAGTCAATTATGTCGCAGGTATTTTAATGAATGGGTGACTGGGGAGAAGCACAACCACCTGATGAGAAACCTGCACAAAGTGATTTATTGTTATTATTTTCAACATCAGGTATCTGCTTTGAGCCCCCAGTTTAATGGAGTTTAGGGASGGACATGAATCATTTTGGCCTAATTTTGACCAGAAATTTTTTAGGGCCACCTCAATGGCTCCATCAAGGAGTTAGAACCTCCTCAAGTGAGTGCTCCTTTCTCTGCCTTTTCTCTGCCTGTCCATCCCTGCTCATGGGACAGTGACAAGTGGCTTCTGTGAGCCTGGAGCCACCAGGTTTTAAGTGGATTGACTTCATCTGGGTCACTGCTGTGTKCCTGCCTTTGTGATCTCTTGGAGAGGCTTTTCCTGTCCCTGTGAGCAGTGCTGGCTTCCAAGGAAAGCCCAGCTGGCAACAAACACTACCTTTGAGTGAGAGTACAGGCTTTCAGCAAAATATTTGGGAGTGCTCAGATTTCCGTCGTGAGGGCCAGCTCTGTTTTTGTAATGAAATGCTTTCTTGGATTTCACCAGGATGTTGTTGCAGCGATGTGCAGAGAGGGAGGATGTTCAATCCYTCCTGCAGCTGGTGGTGGCTACCTGGGACCTCTCTGGTTCCAGCAGGAGCTCTCTTTGAGGCATGTTAGAGCAAAGACACATTTCCTGTGAAAAACCCCGGGGAGGGAAGGATGGCATGTGGCCAGGAAGCTGCACCTCTCAAGGTGATGTGCTGCAAGGCTTGGGGTCTGACTGATGGCAAAAGCTGGAAAAGCTTTTAAAACCTTCACACTTGGGTACAAAACTCTTCTGATTTTCCAGGCATCCATCCCCTCAGCTGTCCTCTACATAAAATAAATATCAAAGCCTTTCACTTGGAGCCAGCCCAGGTGAGGAGTGGTTGGCAGGGTGTGCCCAATCCCTTCTTGTGCCTCTTGCATGTCTCTGTTGGAGCTGGAGACCACACTGTGCCCACATTTCCACCTCCCAGCTCTCTCCACGAGCCCCAGGAGCCTCTTGTCCATAATTCTGTGCTCTCCTTGCCCTCACAGATCACCTGGTGGCCCACGGGCGCATGGCCGAGAAGGAAGCCCGGAGAAAGTTCAAGCAAATTGTGGCTGCTGTCAACTTCTGTCACTGTCGGAACATAGTCCACAGGGATCTGAAGGCAGAAAATCTCCTCCTGGATGCCAACCTGAACATCAAAATAGCAGGTGAGCTAAGCCAAGCAGTGTGGGAGGAAGGCAGCTGCTTTCAGGAGTTAATAAACGTGGGCATTGGCTGCTTCCAGGTATTCAGGGAGGAGGAAACGTGGTGCAGCTAAAGGAAGCTTTGGATTTCTGTGTGGCCTCCTGCCCAGAGCTGAAACTGCCAGGTTGTAGCCAGGAGATTTATATCTCCCTTCAAGGAGTGCAGAGTAAAAGAAGAAGGCAAAAAAGGGAGGTTTGGCTTCCTGGGCTGCAGACACTGCGGCGTTCGCTCCTCTGGGTGATGGGTGAGACAATATCACTGAGCTGACCTTGCTCTGAGTGCTGGTGCTGGGTCAGGGCTTCTGCAGAGCAGGTCAGGCYAGGTGAGAGAGCAGGAATGGCAAAGTGGGGATGACAGGGTGGATGGTGGAGCAGTGAAGGGGAAACAGCACTCCTGGGATCATTCATGATGTGGTGTGACAGAGCCAGAGTGGCTTTGGGGTTTTATTCCCTGCAGGGAGTGGAGCTGAAGGTGCTGAACACACTTCTCGATGTTTTGAAAGGCAGTAGGATTTTTTTGTCACTACCTGTCCTTGCAGAGAGTTCCCTGCTTGGGCATTTCTGTCCTCCCCTGACACAGAGCTGCCTTTCTGTGGTGCTCTGACCATGAGCTGGTCATGGGGGCACTGACAGTATTTGGCTTGGTGGGATTGTGACCAATTGAACCAACAAGATTGAACACTCGAGAGCTGGACTCAATCTTTGTGGGTCCTTTCCAACTCAGAATATTCTGTGATCCTGCTCTAGTCATTCTGTGGCCTTTGGAAATGGTATCTTGTACTCAGCATTTAACTCCACCAGAGCAGAGCATCTTTGGAAAGTGCTTTGTTTTGGAAAGTGCTTTGTTGTCCACTCTCAGACTTCCTGGGTGAGCTTGTCTTTTGCAAGGGTTTGTAACTTGACTTAAAAAAAAAAGTGTAAAAGTGCTGAGGGCTACAAAACTTTTCAGTCTGAGAAATTTTACTTTGGGGAGGTGGGAAATACTCCTCTGTSTTGATAGCATCTTGAAGAAAGGAAACAGCCTAGCTCATTGTTGCTGTTCTCTTGGGTACTATCCAGAGGTGTTAGATTAGAGTTCAACACTCACTTTGTAATAAAATCATCAATAATTTCACAGGCTTCCCTCATCCTCCCATTCTGAGGAGGGAGTGGGGAAGGAATAGAGAAAAAGGACTTTGTGGATGTTTCTCTGGTGCTTAACAGCCTGAAGCATCATCCTTGACACAGGAATGATACCCTGCTCCTCTCTGTGCTGATGGAACACGAGTGCAGCTCCTTGGAGTACGAGTGGAGAGGTCCTGGAGCACAGAGAGAGGTGCTGGGAGGACTCAGAGCAGCCTTTTCTGGTGTTTTGTGCAAAGGCTGCACTAATGGTTTGAGGCCATCTTGTGTTCATGGAGAAAATCCGCTCTGCGTGGAGGGGGAGGGTGCCTGGCAAACAGCGAGAAGTTAAAAACTAACCCAGGTGGAAACTGGAATTCAGCTGAATTTGCTGGAGAAATGTCCACATGAGCAGGCTGAGAAGGTCTCGAAAGTGTGGAAACCTTTTTTTTTTTTTTTATCTAAGGGAGTTGGAAACTATCTTCCTTCCAAATCTGTGCTCCCAGAATGACTCCTGGAGATCGTCCCCACCCTGGTGGTGGCAGTGTTTGCCTTGGCAGGAAGATGCTGCAGTGCTTTGAAAAGTAGCTTGGAAAAGCTGATTTAGGATATAGGATTTTCCAAGCATTAAGTTTTCTCCCTATAACTCATCAATTACTACTTGACACCAGTTCTTCCATTGTTTCAAGAGAAAAAAAAAAGTGATATCAACAGTTCTGCTTCACACCAGACCTCCCAGGAGAAACGCTGCAGAAATGCACACACCAGTTACACTGGTAGAGAACCAGCTGGACCTTCACTGCCAAACCTGTTCACTGTGTCTGACTCAAACTYTGGAGCTTTKCAGACTCTCCTTGGTGCAGATTTTRTGGCAYTTTCCTCCATTTGCAGCTTTAAATCCCTTGCCTGGCATCAGGCAGGTCCCAGCTCAGCGAGGGAGCCCTGGGGTGGGCAGTGCTGCTGCTCTCACTGATGGTCACTATTTGGGKTTTTTTWTTKATTTCAGKTTTTTTTTGACTGATACTACACCATTTTTCCATAAACRGCGAGATCCCAACGCCGTGACCCTGGCTCTCATTTTTCCCATGGATGCTTTTTCTCCAGTGTACCTTCTCCGAGTCTGAGTCAGTAGCTGCTGGCACTGCATTCCCTGTGCTCCCAGCCCCAGAGTTCAGCCAGGAGTTGATGATTGCTAAACACCCCGACCTTCCCTGGATATGGTTTCTGAGAGGAATCTGATCTATGCATTGCTTTGCATTCATCTSCAAGAGGAGGCTGCTCCTTCCCCTCCTGAGGAGAAAATCCCTGTGGGGCAGAGGCTGAAGCCACTCCCTGAGCTCTGCTCCAGGGAAATTTGATGGACTGAACCCACTGTTTCTTTTAAATATTTTCATTGTGATTTACCTTGCTCTTCAAAACTGCCCCTGTCCTTCTGCATCTGATTGCTCCCTGGGGTTTTGGATTTATGCATCTCCTTGGCCATAGATTTTAAGAAAGTTTATTTAAGTTGTAATTTGTGTTTTTGTTTGGTTTAAATTTTGTGCTTAGTTGCTCTGGGGTTTTCAAATCCTCTTGTGAACTTTTTTTTTTTTATTTTTAAAGCTGAGGTGGAAAAGACAATTGTGCAGCTGTGTGCTGTTTGCCTGGAATTGTCCTCCAAAGGCTGMCTGGAGGTTTAGATGGCTTCACTGCCAACAGTAAAAACCCAACGGGTGTGTAAGTGCCTTGTTTTGATACCACWGTGCTTTTAAAGAACATTCACCATCTCTGTGCTCTGTTTTGAGATGGAGTTGGAGCAGCCCAGTCTGTGCTCCAGGTGTTTCCACAGGAACAGGCTGTGTTAGGTGTTCTCCACATGCAGAAATCATCTCCATGGGGAGATTTTTCTCCCTGCAAAGGGAKGGGAAGAAGGAATTTTGCTGTGCCCCCCTGGAGCTGAGCTGGCAGGAGCAGTGCCAGGTGCTCTGCTGAGTTCTGCAGAAGCTGYTCAAAGGAGGAGAGGAGTCACCTGAAATTAGGTCATGGAAAATCCTGTGAGGAGAACAGCAAGAGGGAGCACGGAATCACCAGTTTGTGCATTTTGGGGAGTGCTGGTGGGATTTGCCTGCCTCTGGCATGAGGTGTTGGCCATCACTGGCAATCCTCACTTGGAATGTCTTGGTAATTAATTGGTAATTAACTGGTAATATTGGGTAATTGTGAATGTCTTAGAAAAAAAAAAAAAAAGAACAGGTAGTTTTATAGGATTTCGGAAAACGAAGCTTTCCGGATGGCTACGGCTAAAGGGGCTGAAAGGAGAGATTAGCAGATAAAAATGAAGATGGTTTTTCAAGCTGAATGTTTATTTATTTCAAGAAATGGGGGAAAAGATTCCTTTGTGCCTTTGCACCACAATTTACTCTTTATAATTTGTGTACATGTATTAAAATACACATTTTTCAGCCAAATTTCCCCACAATTCTGGGGTCTCGTGTTTCACTGCCACCACTCGTCTGTGCTTCACCCCAGATCTGCTGCTGTTCTGACTGGGGACAGAGGCAAAATTCATCTTCAGCCCTTCCTAAGAGATTCCCACTTTCTGCAGCTGTTCTGTGTATTTTTGCCATGGCACTTTTTGCKTTAATGGGTCAGAATTTGCAAACGGAGTGTTTGTGGCCCTGCCTGCTCTCCCTGCTGCGAGGAGCTGCCGGTGCCAATGCCATTAGAAATGGCCTCGTTGCCCCGGGTCCCTGTCTGTGGTCATTAATGTCACTCGCYCTCCTGCTGACACATCTCTGGCAGAAACAGAGGCACAGCACTCTCAGATAACCTTGGTGGCACTTGCTCCTTGGTGGAGCTGCTCCTGAGGACACCTCASAACTCCTCTCTGTGACTGTGTTTGCTTCAATTCAATTGAGGTGAAGAAAAGGAAGGAAATGTAGTGAAGATTCTTTCTTTTTACAAGAACAGCTCCCTCCTCTTGGACCCAGAGTGGTTTCCTTGCCCTTTGCAGTGCACAGGGGGAGGCAGGTTAATTAGCAGAGAATGCCATTAGTGCCCACGTAAGCCGATGTAAGGTGAAGACCTTTCTCCTTCAGGATTTATTATTTGCTGTTGGTGAAGGATTTGACTTTTTGTAGAGCTGTGCACCATAACCAAAGTTTCCTGCCCCTGTAGTGCTTTCTGGAGAAATCTGAATTTCCATTCTTTTTGCCTTTGCACTCTGGCCTCAGGGACCAGGGAGGAGATGGAGTCCCCATCCCTGGAGGTGTCCAAGGAATGAYTGGAGTGGCACTCAGTGCTCTGGGCTGGGGACAAGGTGGGGATYAGGRACAGGTTGGATTTGATGGTCCTGGAGGTCTTTTCCAACCTCAGTGATTCTGTTTCTGGTGTCTGTGGACCAGTTACCCATTACAGCACTGTACGTGACTTTACCAGTCTCAGCAAGTTACTGAAATACCATTTGTTCAGGACASTTGGAGTGAATCACAGTCCTTTCATCGGTTCTCTTTGTTCTTTCAGATTTTGGGTTCAGCAATATCTTCACCCCTGGCCAGCTCCTTAAAACCTGGTGTGGGAGTCCCCCCTACGCTGCTCCAGAGCTCTTTGAAGGCAAGGAGTAYGATGGGCCAAAGGTTGATATTTGGGTATGTGATCAGCCTTTTTCTCTCTTTGATCTGATTTTTGCTGTGTTTGTTTGGCTTTGCTTCCTGAATGCTCAGTACATGTCTTAGAGAAAACCCTGACATGGCAAAAAGTGTTTTCCAAAGAAACTCTTCCAGAATTGCATTCTGGCTACTCCATCCTGTATTTTCTCTATCGAGAGGTGCAAAACGCACAAGTTGAGTTGCCCCGAGATGGGTTTTGATTCAGTTTGCCAGCACTGACTGCTGGTTTGTTTTGTTTTGGCAGAGCCTGGGCGTGGTGCTGTACGTGCTGGTGTGCGGGGCCCTGCCCTTYGACGGGAGCACCCTGCAGAACCTGCGGGCAAGGGTTCTCAGCGGCAAATTCCGCATCCCCTTCTTCATGTCCACAGGTGAGGAAGCACAGAGCTGGGGACACGGGGGCTTTCTCTACACCTCCTTCASTTTTAGCTTTCTGCAGCATTGTGGGGCATGAATTTCCAGCAACAGCCCCATCAGAGATAAGTGTGTCCTGCTGCTGCCAAAACACTTCTGAACACTTCAGTAATAAATCTTGGGTGTGAAAAGTGTGATTAATTTTCATATAAAACCAGCCTAACAAAGAATCATGTGTAGGTACTTGGTTTCCTGCTAAGGTTAAGGAAGAATTTTGTGTTGAGTTCCCAGATGAAAACTTCCTTGCTTGCTGCCTTACTTGGGGAAGAAGTTCTCTCCAAGAAGTTCTCTCTCAGAAAATTCTGCTAAAATGTGGTACTTTCAAAGCCAACTTGGATCCCAGCCCAAAGGGGGAGAGCCTCAGCAGTCCCCCTTGGTGACAGGATGGGTTTGATACGATGGAGAAATCACTCACAGTGTAGAGTGGAGAACATTCTAAGGGTGCTTTGCTSTCAGCCTCCAGAATCCAGGGGAGGGCCAGGGTGACAGGGCTCTGTGTGGCTGGGGTGGCTTCTGTCCTTCCTAGCACAGAGGAATCAGTGTCTGCAGCAGAGCTGGGACCCACCAGGTGTGAATGCAGAAGAGAAGCAGTATTTTAGTGTGGTGATTCCCAGAGGGGAGCAGGATGCTCAGAAAAGGAAAGGGAACACAGCAGCAGCCGTGTCCCTGCCTGCACTGACCCAKCCTCTGTTCCCTGGCAGAGTGTGAGCACCTGATCCGCCACATGCTGGTGCTGGACCCGAGCAAGAGGCTCTCCATGGAGCAGATCTGCAAGCACAAGTGGATGAAGCTGGGGGAGGCTGATGCAGAGTTTGACAGGGTGAGCAGCAGCGAGGGGAGCTCAAACGCGCTCTGGGCACGCGGTGCTGCAGCGCTGCTTCTGCTCTTTGGGAACACTCATTCCCAGGGCTGGCATTTCCCTTTTCTGTGTCTGCTGGCCTTGCTCTCCACATCACTCCTTATCTRCAGACATTTTTGTGTCTTTCCCTGTGGCATTGGGAGCTTGGGGCACGGGATTTCAGATCAGGTGCCATCAGACCTCACTCGGCTGCAGCTCTYGGGAGCGCCGTGACTCACGGGTGCCTTTGGGAATGTCAGCTCTGACTGTGTGCCTGTGCTCTCACAGCTCATAGCAGAGTGTCAGCATCTGAAAACAGAGAGGCAGCTGGAGCCACTGAACGAGGACGTGCTGCTAGCCATGGCCGACATGGGGCTGGACAAGGAGCGCACGGTGCAGGTGAGGCTGGCACGTCCTGCAGCTCCTGTTTGGTGGCAGCTGAGCAATCCCAGCACGCTGTAAATTGTGTTTTATCACTGACCCTTTTCCCTCCCGTTTCAGTCGCTGCGAGCCGACGCGTACGATCACTACAGCGCGATTTACAGCCTGCTCTGCGAGCGCCTCAAGAGGCACAAGAACCTGCGCATTGCCCCCTCGCCCAGCATCCCCCGCACCATCACCTTCCCCACCTCGGCCAACATCCAGGTACAGCCCCTTTGCCTCGGCTCTTCTCTTCCCTGCTAAACTCAGACCTATGCTCGTGGGTGCCCGCATCTGGAGTGTCAAAAYATTCCTCATCTGACCACACCCAATGTGGTGCGTGTTTAGGGTGCCCAAATCCTGGGGTTAGGAACACTTTGTGCGTTGGCTGAGCACCCTTTAGTCTCCTGCTTGCTTGGTGACAGAGGGGAAGGAATTATTGGGGAGCTGGGGTTCCCAGCCCAGGGCTTCTTGTGTTGCTGTTGGAGCAAAGAGCACTTGCTTTGGTAGAAACCAGTTCACAGGGAAGCAGAAGAGGTGCTGACCSTGCCTGAACAGAAGGAAGGGGAATAAACAAGGCAACCCCTAGAGATTAAACAGCTCTTCACYGGCTCCAGGGTCACCTCCCTGTTCCAGGTGCTTAGGGCTGGTGTTAACGCAGCAGGATTTGTAAARCAATGCTGTGTTTGTGTCTTCTGATCCTTCAGCAGACAGAACAGACAGGCAACACCATGAATATCAGCGTGCCCCAAGTGCAGCTCATCAACCCCGAGAACCAAATTGTGGAGGTGAGGTACACCCCCATGACCCCTGCAAGATCTTTTTCTGACTCACATTGATCCTCATGTTGTATTTGAACATCTGCAATGTTTTCTGTGCCCAGACTGATGGAACAATGAACCTGGACAGTGATGAAGGGGAAGAGCCATCCCCCGAGGCTCTGGTTCGCTACCTCTCCATGAGGAGGCACACAGTGGGAGTGGCTGACCCACGGTGAGTACTGCACTCTCACCTGGAGATTCACTGCCAGCACATGCCTTTGGTCCTTCTGGGTGTTCCTTCAAAGGTCCCAGTCCCACTGCACAGCTCAGTCAGTGTTTAGATGAGGATCAGGTACTTCCCTCCTCCCCTTCCTGATCAGCTCTGGGTAAGCTCTACTTTTGGTTAAGGCAAGTGTCTCACCTGAGCTGCACTGCTGTCATGCCCAAGGTGAGATTTTTATGATAAATGCCGTCGAGGTTAATGCCAAGAGCTAATTCTGGCGAATCTCAACATGGAGAGGAAAAAAGGGACAAATAAAACCAAAGAGTGGCTTGGCTGCWCCGTGTGACCATTTTGCACAGCACTAAGAAGGTTTTTCTGAAAGGAAGCTGGGTCTGTGCATGGGTTTCCTCACATCATGGCTGATGCCCCTCTCCAAATGTGATTGCACAGGACGGAAGTCATGGAAGACCTGCAGAAGCTGCTGCCTGGCTTCCCCCGTGTGACTCCTCAGGCTCCGTTCCTGCAGGTGACCCCGAATGTGAACTTCATGCACAATGTGCTGCCCAGGCAGAACCTGCAGCCCACGGGGCAGCTGGAGTACAAGGTACTGATCCTGCTGTGCTCTGGGCCCTGCCACGGGCTGGGGTGCTTGTGCTCACACTCGCTCGCTCTGTTTGTCACTCCTTGGACTCCATAAACCTCAGGATTTATGGATGATTCCAGTTGGTTCTCTAAAGCAGGTTTAGATCAAATATTAGGAAAATATTCTTTACTGTGGGRGTGGYGAGGAMCTGGCACAGGTTGCCCAGAGAAGTTGMCMATGCCCCATCCCTGGAAGTGCCCAAGGCTGGATGGGGCTCTGAGCAGCCTGGGACAGTGGAAGGGGKGTTGGAATGAGATGATCTWTRAGGTCCCTTCCAACCTGAACCATTCTGTAATTTTATCAAAAAGCTGAAGAATGAAAGAGCAGTGCAATATGAAATTAAAGAGTGGGCTGGGCTGCCTGGCTCTGAGCTGCAGGTTGCTAAAGCAGCATGCAGGGATCTGCAGAGTTAAACCCAACCGTGCTCCTGTACTGACGCTGCCTCCCGTCACCAGGAGATGCTGGTGACATCCCCAATGTGTTCCCCCTGTTTGTGTGTGACCCTGGGCTCTGTGTGGGGTGGGTGACAGCTCTCTGTGTGTGTTCCAGGAGCAGTCCCTGCTGCAGCCCCCCACCCTGCAGCTGCTGAACGGGATGGGYCCGCTGGGCCGGCGCGCGTCCGACGGCGGGGCCAACATCCAGCTGCACGCCCAGCAGCTGCTCAAACGGCCACGGGGCCCCTCGCCACTCGTCACCATGACACCAGTGAGTAGAGAGCTTCAAAACACCCTCCTGCAGGCAGAGAGGGCTGTGCCCAGCTCACAGCAGGCTCAGCGCTGCAGGGATGTGCCTGCTCGCTGCCAAAGTTCCCCTCGCTGTGCTCTCCCAGGTGGGGTTGTGTGTTCCTCYCTCAACTGACAGTTTTTAATGGTTGCTTTTGTCCTTTGCTGATCCCATGGGGACAGCTCAAGTGTCCATTTGTGCGTGTTCTSGCTCCCTGGGTGCGTCTGCATCAATGAATTCCCCGAGGAGCTGCAGCCTTGCCCAGGMACTTGGGCTGGGGAAGGAATGTTGGAAGGGGTTCTTGGCCAGGTTTCCTCGGTGCTGCAGAGGAGCCAACACACACCCCTGTGACAGCTTGTTTGGGAGGATCAGGTGTCCCCTGTGCAGAGGGGACCGTGCTGGGTGTCCTCTGGAACTGTGGCTTCTCTGTCCCCAGGCTGTCCCTGCTGTCACCCCCGTGGACGAGGAGAGCTCCGATGGGGAGCCAGATCAGGAAGCTGTGCAGAGGTAACTCCCACTCTGTTAACATTTGCCCTTCCTTCCTCCACGAGGCTCACCTTGGGCTGTTCCAGAGCTGATTCAAACACAGCCACCTCATCAGGGCACCAGTGTTGATTTTACAGCGAAGCCTCAACACTTCTCCTGTTGCTGTGGGTGTCGATTACTGTCAGCAGTTCCTCCTCTGGCACTACTGGGTGCTTGCAAAGCTGCATTCCCCTGAGGTGGGGAGCTGATTGAGCACTAGGTTCTGCAGAAACTCTTGGAAGTGCTGAATTCCTTTGCTTAGTGTGCACCAGCATGCAATCCACACTAACCTGCCCAGGGAGAGCTCAGGGTTCCCCTCCCTCCCGGSTGCTGGAGGGGGAGGATCTCTGCCCTGGGTGCCAGTGCAGCAGCTTTTGWATCAAGACATGCAGTAAACATCCAACTCTGATGCTCAAACARAGTGAGCTTGCTGGAATTACGGGTACCTCTAGCTGCTAATTTTAGCATTAGGCCTTAAAATAGTCTGCTCCAATAAGGAAAGCATTATTAGCTCCCAGGCTGGGAACTTCTGTTCTCTGTGTCTGCTCCAAACACATTGTAGGAAGTGGGTAGAAGGTGCTTGTACTTTCTCAGTCCATCAACACACTAACCATGGCCTTGCTAACATTTTCTTAGTAGCTTTTGCATAGTTTCTTCTCTGCTAACCAGCCGGGGCACTAAGTGTGGTGGGTGCTCCTGCTTCTTACCTCAAAATGGAAAAACCTTCTGGATCCTGCAGGTCATCACCTGGGGAAGGAGTGGCTCCTCAGGGGTTCAGACTGGAGGTTGCTGCAGGCAGGGTGACACTGGAATGGGTGCAGCTCAAACTCCAGAGCTTCTCTTGGAGTCTCTGTGCACTGAGACTCCTTTTGCCTACCTCAGCCTAGAAAGTCTACTTGTAGCCTCAATAATATCCTCAACAGCCATTGGAAGTTTTAATTTAGGGCTGATGATGTCCTCTGACGGCACCTCAGACAGCAGGTGGTCTTTTCTGGCTGTGCAAACCCAATAAATTTCATTCTTGGCAAGGGGATGCCTGSACATCTTACCTGGGCGGATTTTCACTGTTCTAAACCTGAAGGTTTCAGTTGAGCCTTTAAATCATTAGCTCAGCTGGAAACATTTTGAAACCCCCATGCAGTGTTTTGCAAGGCACTGAAATGTTCAGATCCCACTGAAAACCAAATCCCCTTGGACTCAGAGGTCATTTTGCTGCTCTCAACAGTGCTGCCCTTAGTCCTTTYACAGCACATGTTCTTCTTCCACCAGATGGCCTTGAAAAAGCACCATCCAGGTTGTGTGCTAACTTGTTCTCCACCCCCTTGAGTTGCGACATGTCAGTAGTCATCAGAGGAGAAGGGTAAATAGCATTAACATCAGGGACAGATGCAAATATTTAGCTTCTCAGAACACTGTCCCAAAGACTCTGTTTGCAGCCACCACCGTGCAGCTTTTGCCCTCCTTAATCTGACCTTGAAAGCAGAGCTCAGTCTTCTCTCTGTTCCAGGGAGCAGTCACATCTCCTTTGAGCTTTGGGAAACTTTCTTCCACCCGAAACGCTGTTAGAGCTCATGATTGGATTGTTCCCTGGAGGGCTGAAATAAAATGATCTTAGCAAACCACAACAGTAAAGCTCTTTGGGAAACTTTCCCTGTCTGCATCAAATRATTCTTAACCAGCTAATGGCACGGGCTTTGGCGGGGCACCACGGCACTGTTAACCTGCTTCTTCTGCTTAAGTGGCTTCAGCAGCAAAGAGAGGCTGGGTTTGGGCAGGTCTGGATCGCTTGCTGCTCTTTTCTGCTTCCCAGGGCTGGTTTCAGGGGGAAAGAGCAAAGGTGAGAATTGCCAGGTGTCACTGGCCGAGTGGCTCTCAGCCTGGCTGTCCCCTGGCAGAGCTGCCTGGCTGCTGCTTCAGCAGAGCAGGGCTGAGTTCACACACGGGCGGCCGTTCATCCCGGTGCCCTTGAGCAGGCACAGCTCAGCTCTGGTGCAGTGCAGGGGCTTCACCCCATCTGTGCCAGCCCCAATCCCTGTGCTCACTGTGCCAGGAACAGCTCTAGCCCTGCCCAGCCCTTCCTCACATCCTCACTGAGCACAGGCTCCCAGTTCCCCCTCCCCAATCTTGGGGGATCTACAGGAGTCCTGCAGCTCTTCCCCAGTKCAGAGCAGGGTTTTGTTGTGTGAGAGGCAAGCCCAGCCTTGGTGCTGGTGGCTCCAGAGGAAGGGACCCTCTCTCTGCTCGTGTTCCCTGCTCCCTGCACATCCCGGGCCRTTCCCGACTTTTCCCGGAGCGGAGCAGGGACTAGATGGCGCACTTAGACCGGGCTGGCACAGCCCTGCCTCAGCCCAGCCCTTCCCCTGCTGCCCGGGCTGTCCCAGGCTGGCTCTGGGGTGCCAAGGCTCCCCTGGCAGGAGTGGCAGCTCCTCTCTGTGCCCGGCTCCTGCTGGGTGATCTCTGTCCTGCTCCTGGGGCTGGGGACACAGGCAGACTTGCTCCAGGGGAGAGAATCCACACTGAGGGCAGGTGCTCACCTGGCTATTCCCAAAGGGATGTACCAGCATTCCCCTGAGTTTCGTGCCTTTCCTGCTGGGAAATGGCTGCTTTTTCCTTCTGAGGCTGGCAGTGGAGCAGCAGCAGCTCCATCTRCACTTGTCCCCAAAGCACTGGTGAGGCAGTGCTGTGACAGGCACAGGCAGCGTGTCCCTGGCGTGTTCGGAGCACTGCACAATCTTCTTCCTTCCCATTTCTCTGGATTTTCTAACACTCCCTGTTTTYGGAGTACTCCCATCAGTCTCTTATAAAATGTGCTCCTGCTCGTTGCAGATACTTGGCAAATAGGTCAAAAAGGCACACTCTGGCCATGACCAACCCTACAGCTGAAATCCCTCCAGACTTGCAGAGGCAGCTAGGACAGCAATCCTTCCGACCCCGGGCTTGGGCTCCACACCTGGGACCCGACCAGCACCGGTGAGTAACGGCACCGGCCGGGCACTTGTGCCAGGAATCCTGCCCAGCTGGCACTGGATGGAGCACTGAGGACACCCTGCTGGCAGGGAGGGTGAGGAGGAGGAGGAGGAGGAGCAGAYCCACAGAGCAGAGCGTGTCTGATGCTCTGATGTGGGCTCCCTGCCTGCAGGAGCAGCAGGAATCGCCCGGCTCTTCCCTCCAGCTCTGGTTTTGTGGCTGGAGGTGCTGTGCTGGAATGGCTACCATCACAGAAATATGGTGAATAAGATCTTTTCTTTTAGGTGAAAGCTTTTCCCTGTGTAATGGTAGGCATCAAGGTAGCAGATTTGCTACAGAACACTTTTGGAGGCAAAAGATTGCACCGAGTCATCCAGAGCAGAGCTTAAAACCCTCACTGTTCTGCACCAGAGTTGTGTGTTCTGACTGCAGAGTCTCTTTGCAAAGCTTCTCKAGAGTAATTTTATTTCTGATCTGAACCCTTGATGGGAATCATGTGAGCAAAGGAAGTTGGGTGTGAAAGAAAAAAGGAATCTGGGAAAAAGGGAACTTTTGGATTTGGTCTGAACATGCTCCGGATGTGTGGGAGGGACACTCCTGATGGAGAGGTGTTAATGTGACAGAATCCTTGTCAAAGCAGCCAAACGGAGATGCTAATRCCACAGAGGGWGCTTAGAAACCTCTTAATTWWWAAAAAACCCTCTTAAAAATGCCTGAAAGTGCCCTGGTGCCTCGGTGCTGGAGCARAGCAGCTGCACACTGGAGTTTGCTGCCAGGCCAGGCTGGTGCTGGTGTTCACCCCTTGGGCAGCTCCCACTGACAGCTTGACAAAGCCCTTTTTATTGTAGCCAGAGACCTGCTGAGCTGAGCACTGATGTAATCAGCAGGGACAGGTGAACTCTGAGCAGACTGAGACAGTGCTAGTGCCACGCTGGAGCTCCGGAAAACCAAGATAAGCACCTCTCTGCCCTCAAATTACTCCCTCAGAGCTGCCTGGGGGATGGGAAGAGCAGKAGGGGAAAAATTTTTAGGGCCACAGCTTGATAGGAAGAGGAGTGCAGCTTGCAAAATAAGCAGAATGTGTGGTGTCCTGCTTTCAGGATTGCTGCAAATCCTAAAGGTAAGCYGGGTCCCTCACACAGGGCAGAGTGGAATTTTTACAAGATTTAAAACACACTTGCCCTGTAAATAATGTTGGTGTCGCCTGTGCCTCTTGGCTCTGGAGTCCTGAGGCTGTTGCATCATGAGCAGGGTGGATCTGCTCTTTCCACTCTTGGTGGTGTAATGTGCTCTGAGCCTCTTTCATGTTTTTCCTGTGAAATCACGGAAATTTCATCTGACCACGGTGGAAACAGAGTGTCCCACAGTGAGTCCAAGACATACCTGGCACAGAAATTAGCAGTCATTGTRCAAATAAACCACATTATTGAATGGCAGGTGGGTTTCATTTTGGTCTTTAACCTATTTAAGGTAYCTTTTGTCACATTAAATATCTGAAAGCAGAATTGAAGTACAACTGTACAGGGAAGTGCAGCTGTTCTGCCTTGCCCACACAGATTTCAAAACCTCAGCATGATTTTATCTGTAGCTTCTGCTCTCCATCAATGGCAACAGGAGAACAAATGGGTCAGGATAATGGATGGGATGGCATCAAAAGGCAGGAGAACAGCTCTTTCCTTGGAAGGAAATTGGACTGTGTCCTGCTAAGGCAGAGACAGTGACAAAATGAGCCCAGCACGCTGGGAATGGCCCAGCATCAGTCACCTTGTGACAAGGGGAGCCTGGAACRGGCCCTCAGAGTGACCTCTGGAGTTCTGGGGTGCTCCAGCTGCAGCCAGGTGGGCTCTGGCTGGCTTTGGTGTCAGAGCTCCYGTAAAGTCTCCATCACCTTTTGACAAAGGTCATTTTCTGCTGCTGGAGCCTGTGYGTTAAGTGTTGCTTGCTGGGTTCTGGAGATGGCATTTACAGAATCTTTACAAAAGAAATCCTTTACTGATGGGAGAAGTTCCTCTCTGGGAGGGTGGGCAGGCCCTGGCACAGGGTGCCCAGAGCTGTGGCTGCCCCTGGATCCCTGGCAGTGCCCAAGGCCAGGCTGGACATTGGGGCACCCTGGGACAGTGGAAGGTGTCCCTCATAGCCCAAAGCATTCTGTGATTCTGTGATTTGCACAGAAATCAGGTTCACAGACAGCACTTCCCTGCAGCCACGAGGGCAGGCAGAGAGCCCTGATTATTGTTTGTTGTGATGGATGTGTGCCAGGATATCTCTGCTCGTGATAACACAGGTGGCACCTAATGGCAGGAGCTCTGTGATAATGGGGAGCCCCAACTTTGGGAGAAAACAGCTCCTGGAAAAAATCTGGCTCCCTCTGATGGTGAAGAAACCTCACTGTGAAGGATTTTGGGTGCCTTGGTTTGGATGTGCCCGTTCTGACTGCCCCACGTGGAGCATCCAGGCAGCTGTGAGGCTGCTGGAGATGGAATATCTGTGCTGGAGGTTTTCTCTTGGCTGTGTCACATCACTGACCCCCTTCCCCCTGTGTTCAGTTCTATTTACAAGGACTCCAACACTCTGCACCTCCCCACCGAGCGCTTCTCCCCGGTGCGGCGCTTCTCCGACGGGGCTGCCAGCATCCAGGCTTTCAAAGCCCACCTGGAGAAGATGGGCAACAACAGCAGCATCAAACAGCTTCAGCAGGTGAGACAGGGCCGAGGGAACTCAAAACAGCCTCCACAAGGAATTCTCACTGTTTGGGCTTGCTGCTTCRGGAAGCAGAAGGTGGAATCTTTACGCTAAAGGCTGAGGGACACGGTGGGGATTTGGCAGCTGAGGGTTTGTTCCCTCTCTGTGTGACTGCAGCAATCCCTGAGTGTCCTCAGGATGTTCACCTGCAGCTGGGGACCTGGGGGGCTTCCTCCCCTCTCTTTTCTGGGGAGATCCATCATGCTGTGCCCACCCTTGGGTTTCGTGCCTGTCCTCACAGGACCCACCAGCACTGTGGGACTGCAGCTCCTGCTCTCCCTCTGTCCTCTGGCAGCAGTTCCAGGGTGTCCCAGGAAAGGGCAGCTCCCACCACCAGAGTTTGGAGTGTGCTGTGGGATATTCCCTGTGTTTGGAGTGTGCTGTGGGATATTCCCTGTGCAGCCAGGCACACCTTGCCAATGCTGGAGCAGGATTTGGCCCCAGGACAGGCCTTTCCCCTTGCAGCACAGCACAAATGAGATGCTCTCCTCACTTTGAAGTGTCATTTCCACAGCTCTCTGCCTGCATTAAGGGAACACAGCTCGGTGTCACGTGCACCCCTTGCTTTTCTGGCTTTTTGCCATGTCACTGCACACCTGATTCTGTCAAAGAAAATGGATTAGGCTCTCTTTTCTCAGCTTTTCTCAGAGAGGTGGGCTGCAGAGCATGGCGTTTATGAGATATCCTGGGTTCCTTGCAGGAGTGTGAGCAGCTCCAGAAGATGTATGGAGGGCACATGGACGAGAGGACRCTGGAGAAGACGCAGCAGCAGCACATGTTGTACCAGCAGGAGCAGCACCATCAGATTCTTCATCAGCAGATTCAGGTAGTGAGTGCAGCCCGAGCCAGAGCTGCTGAAGGCTGAGCTTTGTTTTCCTGTGTTGCTGCAGACACAACTCGTGAGCAGGTCCCGGGGGGATTGAGGGAGGGGATTTTGCTGGGCTTGCGGGAAGGCTGGAGGATTTCAGCAGAGATGTTTGCACAGCTGCTGTGGGAGCTGTGGTAGCCAGGGCTGCAGGCAGGGACTGACACTTGGTGAATCTGGATATGTCCTGCTTCACCCAGCAGTGTTTCTAAATTTACTGACTGAGACATTGACTGCAAACACTTCTTGTTTTCTTGTGGTGCCTGGTTCAGGACTGTATCCGGCCTCCCCAGCCATCTCCACCCTTGCAAGCTCCATGTGAAAACCAGCCAGCTCTGCTCACTCACCAGCTCCAGAGGTAAAGAAATGGCTTTAGGAGAGCTCTGGGTTTGACTCTTGCTGAAGCCCAGGGATGAGCTGACGCACTCAGGAGAGGCCAGGCTGAGTTTGGAGGTTTTTGGAGTCAGAATGGCACAGCCAGCTCCCAGGTGAACGTGCCTGGTGTTTTGAGCTGAATTCTGGCTGAAGGACTTCAGAAGCAGAGAAATSTGATTCAAAGCACAGGCCTGCTTTSAGCAGAGGATTGACAGTGCTGCCTTTTGAGTGGCTTGAAGATGCCACTTCACCAGCTGGGCTCTCTTGTGCTTCCTTGGGTGTCTCACACCTTTCCAGGCCCTTGTTGAGCTCACCCTCCTCGTGATTTGTAGGTGAGGCAGGCTGAGTTAGGGGAAAGGAGAGCAGGGTATCTCRGCAGGTGCAGTGAGTCAGGAGGTGAGCCTGCAGTGTCCTTGTCCCCAGGTTCCTGTGGTAGTCACCAGGTCATGCTCGCTCCCTGTGTGACTTGGACAAGTGAGGTGGCTCTCAGCAGAGAAGCCAAGCTGCAGAGACCTTGGGATGGCCAACAAGGGCTTTACGGTGTTTATTTTAAACACAACACGCTGCGTTTGGCATCAGTTCTCCCAGTTGAGACAGCGTCTTGGTGAGGAGCAGGCGTGGTGAGAAGGTGCTTGTTTCCCTGCACAGGTTACGGATCCAGCCATCCAGCCCRCCCCCCAACCACCCCAACAACCATCTCTTCAGGCAGCCCAACAGCAGCCCACCCCCCGTCAGCAGCAGCGTGCTGCAGCCCCATGGTAAGCA